GGGGCGGGAAGGCCCTTCCCCCCCCCCCCACTTTTTCCCAAGAAAATGTGTCGTAGGGGCCTATTTAATAAAATATCTTTTGAGTGAGAAATATATTACTGAAAAACATCCCAACTTTTTCCCAAGAAAATGTGTCGTATCGTATTTAATAAAATATCTTCTGATTGAGAACTATTACTGAAAAACATTGCGACAAAAACTTCCGCCTCACAATGAATGAGAGTGGCTGAATATATATCTGATGAACTTCACTTTATTACTGATTTTTACAAAGGTGATTTTGATAAGCATAACTTGGAATCCAGTTTGTCTATGTTCTCAACATTACTTGAATCAAACAAGACCGAATCAACAACATTGAAAACATTTCATGAAGTGTTAAACTATTGGAAATCATTAAGTTCTAGTCAGAAGTCACTATCTAATGAGGTTGGAAAATTGTTTAATCTTGTGTTAGTTATGCCTGCAACAAATGCTGTCAGTGAACGATCATTCAGTGCATTACGGCGCCTTAAGACATACTTACAATCTACTATGTCTCAAGTCCGTCTCAATCATTGTATGTTTTTGAATATCCACAATGACAAAACAGATGCTTTTAATGGATCTTTTCAAAGTTGCCAATGAGTTTTGTGTAAACAAACACCGTTTTAATATATTTGGTACTTTCGTTGCTTAATGATACTTGGTAGCATCTATAATTTACACAATATTGCACATTATATGTGGTTAGATCTAGTAATTGGTATATTGTAATGTATTAACATAAGATGCCATGGAAAACAGGTTTTAAAATAAAATAGGTACTCTTGCATAGGCCTACTCTTTGTTTCTCGTTGTTTAATTCATTTTTTTATTACAACATTACAAAACATATATAAAGTCATTTTACAGGAGGAAGATGCCTATCAAATAACTTAATAAAAAAAATCACTAGAATTCGTCAAATATCCGTGGCTACCGACTGCTTATTTGCCCACCCCCTCCCCTCCCCCCACCACTTCGCTCCCCCCCCCCCCCACCACCACTTCCAAATTGCTTCCTACGGGCCTGGTTAAAATATTAGTAAGTATTGATAGGAGTACACCCTTACATGTTAATAGCATTTCCACTGGAATACCATCTATCCCTGCAGTCTTTCCTGGCTTCATTTGTGAAAAAGTTAATTCCACCTCATCAGCCGTAATTACGTTATTAAATTTGATGTAATTGTCGTCAATTGATATTTCTTTAGTACAATAATATGATTGAACAGTCTGATGCTCAACGTTAAGCAGCCTCTTAAAATACTGATACCATCCTCCTATTGTTGTCGTGCAATTATAGTTTGTTGGTTTTTTTGCTCATATATTTCCAAATGTATTGATGTAGTCTAATACCTAACGTTAGTTTTTGACTTTCTGTTACATTATAAATTGTTTTCTTACTTCTACACATATTTTTGAATTCCTTTTGTAAGGTGATATATATCTTGAGGTCGCTGTTTTTGATAGATTTGATTTAAAAAAATTTTTACATTCATTATCAAAACAGGGTTTATTGGATTTTTTTCTATTTTGTTTACAAAACCTATTTTTATGATTATATCTATATCTATATATCTATAAGGTTTTTTGTTTCATTGGTTCTCCTGCTTCGTAGCCCTATAGAATGTTACAGAGCTTAACTCCAAATAATATGTTTATGTTTTAAATTCATTAGCTTTGTCTTTATCCCATTTGTATGATGGTCCATTTTAATTCCAGGGATTACCGTGTACCTGTGCTGCCTGTGTATCGTCTATATTGCGTTCTGTTTTTAATTTAGTAACTATTTTGATGGGCATGTGCCCCAGCTCAGCGTATGGGACTACTTCGAACGAAATAACTATATTCATAAAATCCTGGGACGCAATCCCATAATCAACCACACTAGTACCCTGATGAGAAATAAATGTTAGTTCCCCGTTACTGTCACCTAATGTACGCCCATTTAGGATTCGAATGTCCGAACTTATACACATGTCAATTAGTTTCCTACCAAAATTTTTACAGTGTTTATCTTTAGAGATTCTTTGATTTAGTTCCTTATTATTTGGATGGTATGTTAGGTTTGGAATAAATCTGTTTTCGTCATTTATAAGATAGTCCGGTTCATTAGCCGTCCGGATATTAAAATCCCCTGCCAATAAGACATACGGGTCATTTAAATCATGTTTTGCCTTAATAAGTATTATCATAAACTGTAGAATGTTCGCAAGTTATGTAAATAAAACCAATAAGAAAATAACTATCACAATTAATATATTATCGTTTCCATTAATGGAGAAAAAAATTGCATCATCAGATTCACAGAACATTTGTTTAACAAAATTTGAAATATATTTCTTAATTAACACAGATACCCCAAACCCGTATCTCCCATTTTTACATCGTTTCTTTCTAAAGTAAGAGAAACAGTCATACATTTTGAAAGCTGCCCTGACTTTCACATTATCATATAGCCATGTTTCAATGAGTAGTGCCAAAGTGCGAGCCAGCGAGTCATGCGAGCAAATGTGCGAGTCATGCGAGCCATATATATTTTTTTTCTCCAGTTTTGCAAACACGTAGGCCTAGCCTATATTCTTTGGCCTAGTAGATGCAAATGAATAACACACAGTGGAGCTTTGCCTGTGTAGTCCAGTAATGCGCAGTACATATACTTTTTTGGACTTGGTTACTTTTTCGAATCGTCGATCCGAAAGTATGCAGCGCTGATAGATGTTGTTAAAATACAG